AAGGTTCCTCTGCGGAGCCTCTGTTATCAAATGTAGGTCATGAAATATACGTTTGTTGAAACGGTTCATCAGGAGCGTTTTGCGCTGTCGTGAAGGGTTCTGGCATTTGTAGGTGGTCTGAATGAGCTGACTGATCGGGTCGTTTCTGTTATTCCTGTCCTTTGTGCATCGCATGGAGTCAGCTGCGTCCGGCCGATCGGTGCAATAACTGAGGCAATTGATGAACAGTTGATCAAAAATATCGTGATCGTATGGATGGACTTTGTAAATTTCTAGCAACTTCTGAGCTGCAAGGGCAGTCTTAATGCCAATTGGAAAGAGATTCGGTGTGAGTTGTCGGACAAGGCAAAGTAGGACCTCAAAGATGGTCCTTGTTTTTGCTTTTGACAGCATGGTAACAGCCTGAGGAAACGAACTGCAAGTAGTCAGAAATTTGGCCAAAAAGCCGACAACATTCTCATTGTGTTGATCAGTTTCAATGAAACTTTGGCCTTGTTGCAGCTCCCCGTCGTGCTTCTCACGGAGAACATAAATGGCGGCACCAAAAGATATGGGAATGCTGACTGGATTTTGATTAAACTCGGAAACGTGACTGGAATAAGGAGTGAACAGATATCGTTCAAAGTTGATTCTCGGCAGTTTCTCCAACCTGTTCTCACCTTCACATCGCTTCATTGCCTTATCTATTCGTGCAGAGTCGAGAGCCTTTAGGGTCGGTCTAAAGACGGGCTTCGAAAGACACTTATCGACCCAATGGACGCGGCGTGTAAGAGCGAGTGCGTCCGTCTGGGAAGCCTGTTTCTGTTTTGGAGGGTTTGGAAGGACCTGGTCTGCCCTGCTGTCCTATTGGCTGTCCAAAAGGACTCTGATTGCTGTGGCCGGTATCACACTTCGCCTTAAAGGAAGTCCAGCTCCAGGCGAGTAGGGTCGGGCCCACGACAGTGAACCACAAGGCTGTCTGCGGTTGGGGATAGGTGAAGGTGACGGCACCAGGCTTGGTTGATGTTGGCCGGCAATGCCGCCGTACCAACA